ATATATATATAATTTAATTATTTTACTTTATTTTGTATTGACGTGATAAAAATATTAAATTTGACATGTGACGAAATTAAACTAATATTTTTATTAGTCAATACAAAATTGATAATGTTACAAAAAAAAAATTAATAACAGGACTAAAAAGATTATTAAGTTGCCAGATTAGAAATTAAAAAAAAATATTTTAAACTATAAAAATTTAAAAATAAAATAAGTAAAACTATAAAAATTAAAATGTATTTTAACATGTTTTATAATTTTTTATTAAGTGAATAAGTAAAATGAGCTAAAAATGTTTCAACATGTATTTAATCAAATGTATATTTTAAAACCTTGTAATAATTTTTTTTAGAATGTCAAGTTAAACAATCTTGAGGTATTTAAAAACACATTTGCAGTAAGTTTAATGAGTCAATTCATGCACTCACTGCATCAAAAACACCTTAAAGTTGTTTATAGGATCTTTAAGGTATTTAAAAAATGTTCCAGGAAGATGACTATGTTTTAAGAAAATTGCGCAACAAGCAATACAAGTATCCACCAATGTGGACTAGGTTGGCTCCATTAAAATTAACATTTGGCTATTATACATTTGTTTGGAAAAATTTGGTTTGGAGAAGAAAAAAGAGAATGTTGTGGCACGAAGTAATAGAGAGGTTGAATATAAGGCAATGGCACGAGGGATTTGTGAAATTTTGTGGCTTAAAATTTTTTTAGAAGAGTTGTAACTTCCTATAACTCTACCCATGAAGTTGTATTGTGACAACAAGATTGCAATTACTATTTTCTAAAATTAAGTTCAACAAGATCAAACCAAGCATGTAAAAATTGACAGACATTTTATAAAAGAGAAAATAGATGCATGTCAAATTTGTATAAATTCAACATAGAATGAAATAAGTTTATATAAATTAATTTATATAGAGATTTTAATAAATTATAAATTTATTTATTTAAATTATTGATGTGTAATATGTTTTATTGATTTTTTTTTCTTTTTATAGTAATTGCTTCTTATATATTTTGTTTTTATAAAAAAACTAATTAAGAATGCATTTGATACACATAAACATAATATAATTCAAGAAAAGCAGTAAAAGATAAATATGTAAGTTAGGTGTAATACATCATTTAATCTTAGATATATTTGAATTTTTGTAAATAAGTTCATAAATTATAAAATTGTAATTTGTATCTTTAAGTGATTACTCAATTTTCATTTTTATTTTTTTAAAAACACATAGACTTTCACCAGCTATATTTATATATAATGAATATGGACTAGCAACATAGTTAGCTTTAGTTGCATATAGGGATGAGAATAAATCAAACTTTAGCTTTAGTTACATATAGGGATGGGAATAGATCAAACTTTAAATAAGAGTTTATGACTTAACCTCTTTAAAGTATAGTTTGATCTGTTTAATAAAAAAATCAAGTTTAAGTTATTTACTTAAAAAGATTAGACTTAGGTTTATAAAAAAACTTGTTAGATCTAATAGACTAGCTTATTTATCTATATAATTTAATAAAAAAATTTAATATACATATATTATTTAAATAAAATTATCTCCTTTTACTATAGCCTGTACATAAATTTAAGTCAATATATATGAATGTACGTAATATGATGAGATTATCTCATATATCATGAGTATTTTTTAATTTATAAATTATTATCATAACTATTTTATTTTATTAAAATGAGTTAATTATTTAGAATATATCAAATCAAATATAAAAAAAATTAAAATATTTTTATTATACAATTATTCTTCTTCATTATAGATTAGCCAGAATTTTTATAGTCTAGCTTACCCTCATTCTATTTTATTAATTGACTTATCCATTCCCCAAACGATCATATATCATACAGAAAATATCTAGCTCCAGGGGATGGAACACGAGAAAACCCCCAACAATCTGAATGAATATAATTCGAAGTGACCTTTATGCATACACTGTGCAATGCCTTTGGCAAATTTACTCTTTTGCTTACCAAAAATGTATTCTCAGAAAATTTAAGTTCCTCCATCTTATGATATCCTAGAAGACCTTGTTTGCTAAGGATCATCATACATTCCTCACTCGTGCCCAAGGCATATATGCCACACATTTGTTTGATCTGGCCCATGTTTTTTAGTATGAGAAGTTAATAGACTGAACCTGAGATGATATATCCTTGAGGGAAGTAGAAATTGCTCCTTTTGGTTCCTCTCATAACTATAAAACACTTTTTCTGATTTGTATTACCCCACCTTCAGCACTGCACATGAAACCTTTGAAATCTAAAGCTCCAACAAAAGTCAAGTTTGAGTTATGGTACTTGGCATACTTAAATAAGTGTTCTTACAATTCCACCATGCAATTTATCTGAATTGGACCAATTCTAATCGCCTTACAACTCACACTATTCCCATTAAGACATCTCCAGACTTCTTTTCATATGTCAAGAACCAGATTCTATCCGGACATATGAGATAAGAACAACATGATAAAATGTTGAGTTGTTTAAAGTAATAAAATGTTAAATTTTTTAATTGATTGGAATTGCTTGGTTAGAGATTCCCTGGTATTTCAGTCTTGTGGTCATGCTTCCTTTAATCTTCTGAACAAGTAAAAAGTGCCAAGGGCCCAAACAAGCAACCAAAAGAAAAAATCAGGAACTCTAGTTCCTTATTATTATCATTTTGAAATTCAAAACATTCAAAAATAAAACTGTAAAATTTTCCTCTTTGCTTCATGTAACGCTGCAAAATGCATGCCTATTACTTTCAACTTGAATCATATTTCATTTCATTAAAAATAATCCGGAATCTAGAGGAAGTAAAGAAGGTCAAATGGTGAGAATCAACTATACAAGCACGATTTGAATGTGAAAGTTCATGAGGCCGATTGCATTTCCCTCTTCATTAATTCCTGCAAAGAGAAGACACGTAGAGAATTCATTTCGTGGAAGATGACAACATTAACATTGATCCTAGTAAATCGTTTCATATCAAAGGCTGCTATTGTTTATTAGTATTACCTGTTGGGTGGCCAACACTAATAGACGCTCTTTCTCCTTCTTCTTGCGTTTGCATTCTCCACACCAGCTAGAAAAATCTCTCTGATATTTCTTCAACTCCCTAAAAGCCGAACTGCATGATAACATGAAAGTTGATTTATGTATAATTGACCATAACTATGCAAATATTTTGCGATCTAAAGTCATGAGTATGTATGGAAAATTTGCAGCTTCAGTGAAACAAGGGGCCAAGTCACACTCTGGATTCCTCCGGTAGTAAAAGAAAGTGATATAGATACCTTCTACACCAGAGAATTAAATTCATCCGATTCCCAGATGTTGTAGGTCTGGCACCATGCCGGTGACGACCAGGATGAAGAATTGCATGCCCTGGAACATGGGAATAATCGAAGATCTCCTACAAAGGTATGCTTAGAGTTATATATTTAACAAAGCAAATGTATTTATGAAATTCATATAAATATAATAATGTACAAATAACGTTTGATCAACATCATGTTCCATTGCCATAATGCTATTTGATTTTGGTATGAAGAATATGAAACTTACAACTTTAAATTTTGTAATGTAATTGTCCAGTAATATACTTTGAAAATAAATAATGTTAGAATCTAATTGCAAGGTATGAGACTTGAATTCCACATTATAAGTATGATGAGACTTTAATATGGGGTTTAAGACGCCATGAGTGCTCCAACTAAACAACTAGCTTTTTGGTTTGGTTAGGGTATAGCTTTTTTTAGTTTTTAGGAACAAGGGAGAGGGACAATCATCCAGAACAATGAAAAGGTATTAATCATCAACTGATGGACATTGGTATTTTCTCTTTTAAGTTTAAAATAGTATTCAAATACATGCAGGAGATCAATCAATGTAGTTAAATATAATTTATTCAGCATGAAAAATGAATATAATTGTCCCATAACAGTATGATAGTAACATACCCCTGGTTTGGTCTCTGAATTTACATGTTCATCACATCGAACACCACGGAAAAACAATTCTCCACCAGAAAATTCTTTTCCCAAGCAAATATTTAAGGAGACTTCTGCATCATCCACATGGAAGCCTGCAAACATATTGCTCTTTAGATTTCAAATTTTCAACAAAAACATATAAAGCTAATTTGTTGGCATGTAAACAGAAAGACAGGCAGCAAACAAGTATAGCAAACAAGATACAATCATATGCCAGACAAAATATATAAGCATCCAAGTAAGCAATAAAACACAAAAAATTCTAGCATAGAATTGAACTTATGATTTGTGATGGATTAACGAGTGAGACAATAAGAAACCATATCTAAGTAAAATAATAGATACATTTAAATTTAACAGAAAATAAGCCAAAATAACCAAGGTATCATTGATAGTTAGAGTGAACATGAATTAATTGAGTCTCCATTATGAACTATAGTGAACTTCAGTTATTTTAGATGGAGGTTTGGGAGGGAAAGAAGCCTAATGTTTTCTGTGTTGAAAGAAGAGAGTCATAAAGTATTTATTAAAATGAACAAGGGATGATTGGAATTTCATGGTAAATTATCCTTTTATTCCTTCCATTAATTCCAAAATGCTCCCAACTTAAAGAGCATATACTTGTAATGAAAATTTTACCCTCCCCCTTTCCCCCAAAACATCCTCAGGGGAAGATAAGGTATCCTACTACACAGAAATTAAGGCAAAATGGGCATATAAGGCACTGAGGCTAAAAGGTATAACAAAACTGAATATCTCATAATTTCAGAAAATCAAAAAAAATTAATTCATTCTTATTGTCTTATCCTTTTGTACAATCAAATAGAATATAAAAAATCTGCAAGATGACTGGTAAATGCATATATAACATAAAGAGAATGGTTAAAGGAGATTAATATAAAATTGTAAATACATATGCTTGAAACATAAAAGTCCATTTAGATTCAAAATATTTAATGCATATTCAAGGCAATTGCAAATCCACAGAGCAGTAAACTAAAGTTTGAGAAACTTACCAAGTTCCAGATCCCTATTGATTCCATATTCAACAACAAAACCATGATGAGAGTCCAGTGAGGAGCCACCAATTTCAGTGTAGAAAACTACAAATCAAAAATTGAAATTGCAAAAGTGAGTGCACAACTGCACATCATTATATTAGTTTCATCATCTTAGCCATAACTTTCTAATCTATTCTCATTGAGAAAAATAGAAAATAACCTCGAGCTATGGGACATATGAAATCACTCATAAGCCTGTCAAGCATGGCTTCCAGACCAAAATCATCAAGAACAGCTCCATATTGATTCATTGTATTAGGTCGCATGATTCTGAATTTGGAATCATGGACCCATCTTTCAAAATGATCCACCTAAGCAATCATAAGTTGATAAGAACATACAACAGCAATACAGTAGAGAGAAAAAGTTACGAACATGAAGGGGAAAAGAAAGAAAAGTGATACCTCAGATATGAGCATTTCACAAAATTGTGGTTGAAGCATTTCAAATGTATAAATTCCTCTAGAAGGTTCGGTGATTATACTTCGAAAACTGGCTTCTGTATTTTGTCTAATTGCTCTTAGAAATGATGGTGTGAAGAATTTCTCAGCAGCCATAGTATATATCTCCTTGTAGAGCGGCTAGAAAAGGAGTAAATTAGGATAGAAGATGTGGTGTGAATTGTGATGAATTGAGGGAGTAGGAAACTTACTGGATAATTGAAGATGATCCTTTGCCTGTATTCCTTGTGCTTCTGAATCTGTAGAGAAATTATAGGTTAAAAAGAAGGGAGAGAAAGAAAGAAGGAAATAGGAATGGGAATGAGTTGAAGAAAACCCGAATGCGGTCGGTCTCGGGCAAATAGCGAAGGAGGATGTTCCTCATGTAGTGAAGCTTGACATCACGAGGGAGGGAGAGCATGTGAGGAGGCAAATACTGTTCGAGAGAGGTGAAGACGAGAGGGTTGAACTCCAATTGAAGGTCTTCGTAGTTTTCGGCCTTGTGATCTCGCTTCGGGCTTATGCGGAGCCTCTCCACTGCGCCACTGCGCTCCAACGAACCGTTCATCACACTCCCAATTGCAAACCCTTCAATTCATCTCTCTTGCTACTTGCTTCTGCTTCCTCCTCCCTCTTCCTATGCTAATGCTAAACATGGTATGTTGAAAAACATATCTTATATTTTACTCACTTTACTTTTTTACCATCCTTTATTATTGACAAAATATTATCATCTGAAATTAAATCTTATATGTATTTTTACCTTTTATTAATTAAATTTATAATTTATAATAAATAAATATTTTAAAATTATATTATTATTATTAATATTAAAGTTTATAATAAATAAATTCTTTTAAGTATATCAATTATTGATTTAAATGGATAGAGAGAAGTTGATTGGAAAAAATAACTTTAATAGAAGAAGTCATTTAAGTTTTTTCAAAATAAATTAGTCATTACAAAATTGATAAGTGTTAAAGAATTAAAAACTCAACCAACCCACTTAAAAAGAGATGAGGCTGTTCAAGTTGATTTACCAAAAAAATGGGGTAAGACAGATTGGCCAACTAAAGAAAATGGTTGGAAAAATGCAATTCACTCTACTTAGGGTGTAAATTGTGTTGACAAGTTAATCCAGTTTAATAAATTAGTAGATTGACAAATTAATTCACCTTTAGCCTACTCAAAGTTTTTGAATTTTTTTTTAATTGAAATATTTTAATATATATTATCATTTTAATATATAATTTTATTATTATTTGTAAAATTAATTAAAAGGGTTATATTTTTTTCATGTAAAAGACTAAAATAATATATATTTCTATTAAAACAAAGATATTATACATAAAAATGCATTGGTTAAAACACATGTAATTAAAATAATATACCTCTATTTTATATAAAATGAGAATAATTAAATAGAAAGAAATATAAATTAAAAAATATAAATATTAATTCAACATAAATTCACTACAAAATTATCTTTTTAAAAATATTAAATTAAAAAATTAGTAAATGGGTTGACCCACCAAATTGATGAATTTATTTATCTAACCCAATCCAAAAACAAAAAATTTAACTTATCAAATTTAACTCATATTATCATCTCTAATAAGTACCTCACACCAATAACATGATAATTCAAAAATATATAAAGATTATATATATATATATATATAAAAAGAGAGAGAGTGGGAAAGATTAATTATCTTTTTAATTCACATTGTTTTATCAATTTTATCTTTTAGCTCTATAATTAAAAATATTTTACTTTAATTTCTATAATATTAATTTTATTTCCTTTAAATTTTTATAAATTTTACTTTTAATTTTTATAATAATATATAACAGAGACTAAAAGAGAACAAAAATTTTAAAATTAGATATTTTTAACTATAAAAACAAAAAGATAAAATTGACAAAATTATAAAGATTAAAATATTAGTTAAATCACACGCATACACATACGCATATATATATATATATATATATATATATATATATATATATAATGATAATACACTTATAATCATGCATATTTTTAAATGATTTAGACTCTTCTAAATATGTTATCTAATAATAGATATTTACATATTTTTAAATATCATTTTATAGATTTTATAATAGAATTAATTCACTTCTATTGATGATATGATAAGTAATTATAAGGATAACGTAAAACTTTTTTTCTTCTTCTAATTTTAGATAAAATAAATAAATTTAAATTCAAAAGTAATTGTAAATAAATATTCCTCAAATTTAAAGAAATAAATACATGATATATATATATATATATATATATATAACAATAAGTAAAATTTGACCGAGTTTTCTTAATAAATATCTTATATTTAGGTTTTGTAAATAAAAACAATTGAAAAAGATGATTTATACTAATAACATAAACATAATTATCTATTTATATTTCACTCCAATTTATAACGTATTCAAATTTAAATTAAGAAATTTCATGAGATTTATTATAGGTAAACGCATTGAATTTTTTTTTCTTCTTGAAATATAAATATTTTCCATTTTTATACGTAATTATATTAACCAAAGTAATCGTAATCATTATGGTTTTAAAAATTTGAATATTAAAATTGATAACATGAATGTATTCTTATTCAATATTATAGTGTAATTAAATTAAAAAAACTCACATAATTTGAGTTTATTCATGAAAATTATTTATTTAATTCATAAATATGTATAATTAAATTAATTAAAATTTTAAAAAATTTGCATACATTACAAAATTTTTTTTTGACTTTTAATGATAAAAAATATTATCACTAAAAGTTAACATTTTTTAGATAAATAAATTTTTTCATTGATTTGATAACTATTTACCCATCTATTACGTAAACTGTATAACAACGACTTTTAACATTTTATATATAACAAACAACTATATATAAATATATACAAGTATTTAAGTTTTACGTAAATTAAATATTTATAAGTATAAGTAATTTTCTATTCTTTTTATGGTCATTATGTCTATGAGAACAAAATATCTGTAGTTATGTGTCATTTTTTTATGAGTTTATCTATCCAAGTATTTTATTTATTTATTTCATAAACATGCAAAACCAATTAATTAAAATAATTATTTTTTTATACAAATTCAGTTGATTAATTTTATTTTTGATGGTTTGAGTATTGTCATGATTTCAACAGCTGAGATCCCTCTTTATTTATAAAATATTAATTTATAATTAATATATTTAACCCAAAAATCAAGGATAAAATACACTAATTAAAAAAATTAAAGTATATAGAAAATTCATATATAAAATGGAAATAAGAAATTGATAATCAAAGTCATAGATTATAATAGATAAAAAAATAATCATTTTTATTTAATAACTAATATATTTTTTCTCTATCTCTTTTTTCATCATTTTTGTTATTATTATCTCTATTATTATAACTAGAATTATCATTAATTATTATTATCATTTTCATCTTAAATTAATTTATTTTATTAATATTATTAGTATATATTCATTATTTATATGTATTAATATTTAATATTATTATAACATAATAATAAACAAATATTAATAAATATAATTTAAGCTAATAATAAAAATAATAAATAATTTATATTATAAGGATAACGTAAAACTTTTTTTCTTCTTCTAATTTTAGATAAAATAAATAAATTTAAATTCAAAAGTAATTGTAAATAAATATTCCTCAAATTTAAAGAAATAAATACATGATATATATATATATATATATATATATAACAATAAGTAAAATTTGACCGAGTTTTCTTAATAAATATCTTATATTTAGGTTTTGTAAATAAAAACAATTGAAAAAGATGATTTATACTAATAACATAAACATAATTATCTATTTATATTTCACTCCAATTTATAACGTATTCAAATTTAAATTAAGAAATTTCATGAGATTTATTATAGGTAAACGCATTGAATTTTTTTTTCTTCTTGAAATATAAATATTTTCCATTTTTATACGTAATTATATTAACCAAAGTAATCGTAATCATTATGGTTTTAAAAATTTGAATATTAAAATTGATAACATGAATGTATTCTTATTCAATATTATAGTGTAATTAAATTAAAAAAACTCACATAATTTGAGTTTATTCATGAAAATTATTTATTTAATTCATAAATATGTATAATTAAATTAATTAAAATTTTAAAAAATTTGCATACATTACAAAATTTTTTTTTGACTTTTAATGATAAAAAATATTATCACTAAAAGTTAACATTTTTTAGATAAATAAATTTTTTCATTGATTTGATAACTATTTACCCATCTATTACGTAAACTGTATAACAACGACTTTTAACATTTTATATATAACAAACAACTATATATAAATATATACAAGTATTTAAGTTTTACGTAAATTAAATATTTATAAGTATAAGTAATTTTCTATTCTTTTTATGGTCATTATGTCTATGAGAACAAAATATCTGTAGTTATGTGTCATTTTTTTATGAGTTTATCTATCCAAGTATTTTATTTATTTATTTCATAAACATGCAAAACCAATTAATTAAAATAATTATTTTTTTATACAAATTCAGTTGATTAATTTTATTTTTGATGGTTTGAGTATTGTCATGATTTCAACAGCTGAGATCCCTCTTTATTTATAAAATATTAATTTATAATTAATATATTTAACCCAAAAATCAAGGATAAAATACACTAATTAAAAAAATTAAAGTATATAGAAAATTCATATATAAAATGGAAATAAGAAATTGATAATCAAAGTCATAGATTATAATAGATAAAAAAATAATCATTTTTATTTAATAACTAATATATTTTTTCTCTATCTCTTTTTTCATCATTTTTGTTATTATTATCTCTATTATTATAACTAGAATTATCATTAATTATTATTATCATTTTCATCTTAAATTAATTTATTTTATTAATATTATTAGTATATATTCATTATTTATATGTATTAATATTTAATATTATTATAACATAATAATAAACAAATATTAATAAATATAATTTAAGCTAATAATAAAAATAATAAATAATTTATTTAATAGTAATAAATATACGTGTAATTTTGGTATCTCATTTATGTTATAAATAAAATAGTTTTCATTTATATTAAATTTATAAATTAAGACTTAAAGATGAAAAGATTGAATTAAAAATATTGTGAAGGGATGAAAAAGACTAAACTGAAGGTTAGCAAAGATGAGAGCCATTGGTAATTGGTATGATCAAAGGGGTGAAGCTTCTTTAACTGTAGCTCCAGTTGGCTTCCCGCTTATAACATGCGAGAGGATCCGTTACCCTCATTCTGTTTCATTTCTCAATCATTCTTCTTTCTTTCTTTCTTAATTTCTTTCCCTGCGCAGTCATAGTGATATAGCTAGACAAGGTTGACGGTCTAATCTCTCAAAGAAAATGGAACCTGTTCGTGTAAGTTTTTTCCTTCTCTTCTAACATTGAGTGCATGTTGAGGCACCTTTCTTTCCAATTAACTTGACATCATCTCTTACGATATTTGTTGTTTTGTGTTTCTTTTCTTTTTTCTATGTTGGATTCAACAGATTGAAAAGATGAGGAAATATAGGGAAAAAATCATCTTGGAATATCTAGTAAGTTTTCAACACATGTGACAATGGCAGTAGTTTCATTTTATGATTATTCACTTTTGTTTTTAATTGTAGCCGCTGCATAAGGAGATATATACTATGGATGCCGAGAACTTTTTCACTCCGTCATTTCTCAGAGCAATTCAAGAAAATACAGAAGCGGCCTTTAAAAGTATAATGCATCAACCTTGTAAAGGAATTTATACATTTAATATGCTTCAACCACTATTTTGTCAAAAGCTCATATCTGAGGTATCACATTTCTTTCCTTTCCTTTTCATGCATATATATCATTTTATCCGTTTTATATTAGTGATTTGTGTTCTTATCAACTTCTGACTGTTTAGGTGATTCATTTTGAGAAATGGGCTCTTCATAACAAGCGCAAAATCATGCGGCCTAACATAATAAATAGATCTGGTGTTGTTCTTGATGATTTTGGCCTGGAACCTATGCTTCACAGATTTATGACTGATTTCATACGTCCTATGTCTCAAGGTTCTTTATGAGAATGAATTAGAAAATTATGACTGGAATGAAGAACAAATATAATGATGAGGACTCACTGTTGAAATTTTTTTTCTTTTTTTTGTAGTTTTTTACACCGAATTTGGTGGATCTTCACTTGATTCTCACCATGGTTTTGCGGCTGTATATGGAATCGATAAGGGTGTGAAAGTTGGTAGGTTTTTCAAACTAAGTTCACTCTGCTTTGTAGATTTGCTATTGCTTAGAATCTGTAATAAATATTTTTGATCCTAAATAGAGTTTAGTGCTTCAAGCATATTTATGGTTTTATGTTAATTTATTTTAATCACTGTTACGCATTTACTTGTCATGTTATAGATTTTGATTCTTTTATTTTACCATAACAAATGAATAAGAAGATAAAAGTGCATTCGATTTGCAGACTGGCATGTAGATGATGCAGAAGTCTCCATAAATATTTGCTTGGGATCAAAAGATTTTTCGGGTGGACAACTGTTCTTCCGGGGTGTTCGATGTGATGAACATTTAAATTCAGAGATTCATCCAGATGTATGTTTATTAATTATATTGTTTTGGGAAAATTTTATTTGTGCTGATTAATTTATATTTAACTACATTGTTCTTTGACATATAAATGATTTTTTTCATGAGAAGCCAAATTCCGTACCAAAATCTAGTATTTTATCTTGCAATAAGATCCTGACATATTATTTATTTTTTAAGTATATTTATGGACAAATAAGTTATAAATTTCAAATTATCATTCATACTAAAATTGAATAGCATTATGACAATATTAGAAAGATAATGATGACAAAAAATTATTACATATATTTGATAACTTCAAACATATCTTTGTAGGAGATCTTCAATTATTGTCATGTTCCAGGACATGCAATTCTTCATCTTGCTAGTAACCGACATGGTGTTGAACATGTAACATCCGGAATTGGGATGAATTTAGTTCTCTGGTGTAGAAGGTATTTGCATCATTTTTTTTTTTTATTTCTACTTGAATAAATTAACATAGCTTAGTCCTTTATTTCACTGAAATAACAAAATTTTCACACGTATTTCCTTTTTGACTTTAGACTGCAAATTATAAGTATAGTTATATGCATCAACCTTCATGTTGTCATGCATGCAGTTCGGCTTTTAGACAGTTGATGAAAACTCAAAGAGATTTTTCTAGCTGGTGTCGAGAATGCAAACGCAAGAAGGAGGAGGCAGAGTGCCAACGCAAGAAAAAGGAGACACAGTGCTCATAGTTCCATCCTCCCAAGTGGTAACAATAACATCATTGAGATAAATAAGATTAATGTAATGTTTCATGAAACTTATTGTGTGTCTCAATTTTGCAGGAAAAGCCGCATTGAGCTTCTTCACTTAAGAGGAAAATGTTGTTGTCATTTAGTTTTCATAGTTGATTCACCATTTAGTTTCTTTACTGTTTTGGACGCACCTTATAACTAGAAATGACCTTTGATATGCCATGAAAAGCTCACTCCTTACATTAGCCAATTTAACAACTTCTATAGATTCTTTGTTGTGACCTTGTGGTGTCATTGGTTTGTGTTTGCGACATAATCATTACAAGCCCAAATGTTGCATTTGCATTGATTCGGTCTACTCGCACCTGTAGCAGCTAAGTTAATTATCTGTTATAGGTGGTTAAGATAGTAGGCGATTGAGTTAGTTTTTAAGTGCTAAATGCAAAGATTTGGCTTCTATCATTTTGTAAACATCACTTATTTTTCCCCTTTTTTCAATCAATTAATTTTTGTTTTTCAGAACTCAGCAAATTTGCAATGCTTTTGAATACCCTATGAAAAGGCCCTCGTAGAATGCTCAGGCTTATTAAGGATAGATAACAACTAAGTTTGCAAAGGCCATTCATCAGGCTTATTAAGGAGTTTATATGTTTTCAAGATGTCAATTGAGAATAAGGAGTCCTAAATATTTTTCCAAGGAGATGGATGTAAGCTTTTCAGTCTCGGGAAGTTGGACTCCCTTGGAGTAGAATGCTCGTGACTTCGCCAAGTTTATTTTGAGCCTCGAGTGCTTGTTCAAACAAGACTGCAAATAAATTGGCAACAAAATGTATATATGAACTTTTCGCTTTTGAGAACATCGCTCGCAACATGATCTATTTCTCGAGATTTGGAGATGTAACCCACTTCCAATATTAACTCCATCAGAAATAATCTTTACTCTTCAGTTGCCAACTTTAAAATTCTATTGTGAACCTTATTCATAAATAAAATAAAATAACTAAGATATAAAAGTGGAGTAGCAGGCAAATTTATTATCATGTGTGAATAAAGAAAATCTACATTAAAAATCAAGGGTTAATTATAGATTTTTTAAAATGCTAATAGGGTGTGACTGAATTGACATCATATGTTGAATTTGTGGAAAAGTGGAATTTAATTCTTGCAAAACACATCATTAGGAAGGTGAAGTGTTTTAAATGTAACTAACCCTTGAGTTGAGGATTAGTCTCAAAGTCAACTTAAAGAACCAAAACATGCATGTGGGAATACCTCAAGGTCTCAGTAAGAAATCAAAGACCTTAATTATTGAAAGGAAAATGAAAATAACTTCTAAAAAAACTCTCACATAATTAGAAGAAAAAAAAAGGTAAAAATGAGAATGAGATATAAAATATTTAACATTTTTTAATTAAGAGTTGCTATTGTTCTTCAAAAATTGAGAGATTTTGGTATTTTCTTTAATGTGTATTAGTAAAATAAATACAAGTCATTTAATGAAGTCATGTCAATTTTTTTAAATAAATTTTATCTTTTATTTAAATTTTTTATATTATTTATCTTTAAGTTCGTATTTAATATTTTTAAAATAAAAATAATAATTATCAGATTTGTCATTTGTTGTTGAGAGTGAAGTTTTCAATCAAAGTGTTACAAATAGGTTTTGTTCATAAAAGAAGATCACACACGATGTTACACGCGAATTTGATCAAAGATTGAATTTGTTCACAAAAAAAAATTGGAATGTACGAAAAAAGATCGGAGGATGCGTAAGGAGACCGTCTCTCCTCCTTCGAGGTTGTCTCATGTACATCAAAAAAATTGGAATGTACGAAAAAAGATCGGAGGTTGTTTCTCCTTTATCATGAAAGAAAACAAAAGTCTTATAAGTTTTATGAACACCAAAACATGTTTCAGGCATCACATGTCCATGGCCATGTTTTTATTGTATTCAAATTTCATCTTAATTGAATTGATTTACTATAATAACAAACTAATTCATTTAATAGATTCCAATTATTTAGTTTTAAAATTAAAATGAAATCAAAATCAAATAGTAGAACTTGCAAATATTATAACATTCAAGGCACTACTTTGTTTATTCATCTTGAGTTATGGTAGAAATTTTTGAATTCAAATCTCCTTTGTATTCAAATGTCTTTCATAAAATAAAAAAATAAAATTAATATAATTATTTAAGAATTCAATTAAAAAAATAAAATAATTTTAATATTAAAATATAAAATGATGACACATATCAAAATTAATAACATGACATGAATGTATCAAAATCTTTAAAATTATGGCAGGTATTGTAGAATTTTTTTTTAACGTTAGATAATTTGTTAACCTTGATTAAATAGAATATTATGTCGGTATATGTTAAAATTATGTTACAAGCCGATATAAACAAGTACCACATTGAGGTAGACTGCGGACGAGTTTGACTCTCATCATCCTCGATTCTGATTCTCTGAAACAAAAAATCAAGGCGAAGTTAGGAAAAACAAGTAAAAAATAGAAACTCAACTTCATCTTTGTCGAGTTTTATTGGATTCTGTCACAGAAACTTGTGGTGAACCCTTCTCACTTTTTAAATTTTAATTTACTTATATTTTCAAATAAATCATATAAATTTATTAATTACTTCTTAATTCAAATAGTTTATAAAAATAATTTGTTATACTGTGTCTATGTATTATAAAGGAGACGCACATGCATTGAGATGATAATTGATAAGGAAGAGGATATACGAAATCAATGGAATCTGCACTACTCTCAAATATTCCATTTCAATTAAGGTGATTAATAACTAACAAATTCAACTAACTAACCAAATTTCAACCAACTAATTGATATCCTGTAGCAGCTTGGAACTTGTTCTTTACTGTCACCAGCATTGTTCTTTACTACTCACTAGATCATTTCATTTTCAATTCTCTTTTTTTCTTTTAAAAATTACAAGACTGCTTGTGACAAGGTTGAAATCTCAAAGAAAATGCCCATTGATGATGATCTTGCAAAGAAAGAAAAGTTCATTCAAGCATACAAGGACTTCATCAACTCCAACTATACAGTAAGTTTTCAACAGATGTCACAATCACATTTTTGTTTCTAGATTCAAATTGTGGAATGAGAGAGTTTCTCTTACATTTATAATACAGCACATGTTATCATTAGAATTTTCTGAATTGAGAATACTCATTTTGACTCCTTTCTGTATATATATCTTCTAATGGTTATTCAATTTTCTTTATTATTCTATCAAAAGTTTATTCACTTTCGATTCTAGCCATAAGGAGATATATGTTATGGATGCAGAGAGTTTTTTCGTACCATCATTTCTCAATGCAATTCAAGAAAATACAATAGAGAGTTTTAGGAGTATATTGATTGAACCTATTAGAGGAATTTACATATTTGAAATGCTTCGACCACAATTTTGTCAAAAGCTTTTATCCGAGGTATCACATTTTTTCCTTTCCTTTTCATGCATACATCTTTCTATTCTTTCTATATTAGTGTTTTATGTTCTTATCAACTTCCGATTGTTTAGGTGAATCATATTCGGTCATGGACTCAAGATAGAATCAGGAGACCTCATAAAATGCTTGAACATGGAGTTGTTGTTGATGATTTTGGCCTTGAACCCATGCTTAACAAATTTATGGATTATTTTATAAGTCCTATAGCTGGAGGTTATTTTTTTATTTTTTAAAATGAGAATGAATTAGAAAATCATCACTGAGATGAAGAAACTAATATAATGACGTGAACTCACTATTGCAATTTTAATTTTTTGTAGTTTTCTACAACCAACTTGGAGGATCCACGCTGGACTCTCACCTTGGTTTTACGGTTGAATATGAAATTGATAAGACTGTGGAAATGGGTTTGTGGATATCCTATTGACTAGAATCCGTAATTAAGTATTTTGAACCATAAAATAACAAAAGTTCACTATAGTTCACTATGGAGACTCCACTAGTTCACTCTAATATACTCTGTTTATTTTGGCTTATTTTTTGTTAAATTTAAATGTGTGTATTCTTTTACTTTAAAATCATTTCTTGTTGTCTTACACGTAATTCATCACATCATGTTCATTACATAATTTTTTCTCACGAATTCAATTCCATGTTAGATATTTTTCCTTTTTATATTGCTCATCTTTGATCCTTGCATATTTTGTCTAGGATATGAGTGCATCTTGTTTGCTTTGCTGTCTGTCTTTCTGTTTATCTCTCCCAACAAATTAATTTTATATGTTTTTGCTGAAATTTAAAGAGTAATATTTTTGCAGGCATGCATAGGGAAAACCCTAAACCTTAAATATTTGTTTGGAAAAATCAATATGTTTTTCTGGTGGAAAATTGTTCTTCCACAGTGTTCGATGTGACGAACATAAAAATTTAGTGGTAAGATTACAATAACAGCCTTTGAGATGAATAAGATTAATGTTAATGTTCCATGAAACTTATTCTGTCTCAACTTTGCAGGCACTGATTGAGCTTCTTCACTGAAGGGGAAAATGTTGCCATTTAACTTCTTTACTTGATTCATCATTTTGCTTATTTACTATTTCGTCCATACCCTGCAATTTGAAATGGTCACTCTTTACTGTAGTTAGCCAATTTGACTACTTGATTGAGTTGTAACAAACTATAGATGGTTAACATGACAATGCCAATAGTTGAAGTCTTCTATGACCATACATACATAAATTCGAGACATGAGCACAATTGTTCTACTGAAAGCTTTGAGGAGATAAATTTAAATTTAATCTTTCTTACTTTATATTCAAATATAAATATGAAGTCAATACATGCATTTTCAACATACCATATTATTAAAAAAAAAAAAAAAATAGAACTTCATATTTTACATGTTTAAAAAATAAAATAAATTAAAATCTCCTGTTAGAATGAAAATAATAATGTAAACAAGGAAAATGACATGGTACGCATTTTTTTTTCTTTTTTTCTTAAATTATTTAGTTGGG